AAAAAAAAACACCCAAGAACATAATATGATCTACTATAGGTTGAATTGGTAAATGATAGAACCTGAAAATAGAATATTACTAAAACCAAGCTTTCTCAAGCTAACTAATTTGGTCCATAAACTCTTTAGACTTCTAAGTTAATGGTTTGACCAAGACTTACCCAGGTTTGAGCGAAACGAACGAGTCACTCGTAAAAGAAGATTATGTTATTATGATGTCGATTTTTTGGGGCATTTACTAAAATAAATAAAACCTCCCCTAGGCTTCTGACAATCATAATACCCTCCCTTGAGGTTTCATTTTCATAAAAACCTCCCTTTTACCTTATCAAAAACATGCAGTTGCTTCCCTTTCAGCTTTGTTCCGATAAGAAAGATTTCAAAATCATAAAATTATCCTTACATCTTATTAGAGAATCTTTCAATATAATTCAAAATATCAGATTTACCCTTCTAAATCTAAACCTCACTAGACCTAATGTTTTTATAGAGTAAAATTACTTTATTCTTTTCAATCTAACTTGGAGATCTCTTCCGGGATATTTTACTAAATTTTCATCTAAATTGATAGATATAAGGGTAAAATAAATACGTCTTCTAAAATTAATGCATTAGACCAATATTTTTGGTCCATGACAATAAAAATGAAACTACAAGGAGATAACTGCAGATTTATTCAATACTATTGGAGAGATTTTTTACAAAAGTGAAACCACAGGGAGGTTTTTATGATTTTTAGAAACCTCAGGGGAGCTTTTTATATTTTACATTAGAAAAGTAATAAGATAAGAACAGCCTAATATTATATAGTTAAGTAATTTTAGAAATCATAAAGATATATATTTAATTAATTAATCCTATTTATTTTATTTGTTTTTAGCTGTAATCACAGTCCCACCCCCAGCCCGTCTCAACTCTCAAGGAAAGATCCTAGAAATTAAAAAGAATTTTGAAAACATGTGAAAAAAGCGCCAGCTGATAAGCTGAAAAACTCTGACAAATTTGAAAATTAAGAGAAGACAAGGTCCAAGTCTGATCACCTACCAATAAAATACATTTCAACACCCTATTAAATGCAATTTGACATTGCATTGCAGATCTCATACATGATGAATCTCAGTACCATTGTAAGATGTGCGATGTGCGGTGACAGATCATGTTGGTAGGGGTTAGAATGTATTCTGTTGGGAAAAGATCCCAATTCCAATTTAGGAGTAACAAGTGAGAATTGAGAATTCCCAACAGATTCCCACCCACATGGCGGATGGCGCGCACACACACACGTAAGCGGGGTTAACTCAAGTCCCAAACTAAACACGCAGTCTTCCAGGACTCTCAAGTCTCACCTACCACCACCACCCTCTTCAATCCCCACGAGCCGGCATCAGTCATTAGTCGTCACCAACCAACTCCCCCTTTGGAAGGTAGAACCGTCTATAAATATCTCCACCTGTCCTTCACTCAGTTTCAGCCAGGGATCCCTCAACGATCTCTGCGCATATCCCATAACTATCCGAGTTCTATCAACAAAATTCCTCCCATCTGTTTGTGTTTGTTAGAACTCGGAATCTCAATCTCTGTCTGATTTTCTTATATTCTTCCTATCCTCTAGCTAGGCCTGATTTGGTGGGTGTTCTAACTCTAAACTCTAAAAGATGGCAATTAGAATTCCAGTTTCCTCGTATCCCCACAATATCATCAACACCAACATCCGTAGTCGTAGCAGTAGCTGCTCCTCCGATGTCAAATCGTCTGCAAGTAGTATTCGTAGTAAAGCGATTACGTCCAGCCTAAAGCAGCAAAGGAAACTAAAGGAGAAAAACTTCGATCTCGATCTACTCCCTCACCTCTCTCCACTGCAACTGACGGAGGAGATCGCTTCTTCCTTCGATCTCGACGTGGTAGTTCACGAGCTCGAACGTCTCTTCAACCAGCCCGGAGCCTACCCTCCCCATCCTTACCTCCCTGGTCCCTCCAGCCCCTCCACCTCTCCCGGCTTCTCCGGCCATCCCGTCCGCGTCGCTTATCAAGGCGTCCGTGGCTCATACTGCCAAGAAGCTGCCGTCAAGGCCTTCTCCCCCGTCTGCAATGCCTTCCCCTGCATCCACATGGAGGACGCCTTCCAGGCTCTGGAGGATCGCACTGCGGATCGCGCAATTGTCCCCGCCGAGAACTCCATCGATGGCACCATCGACCGCAACTTCGATCTCTTGCTCCGTCACGACAACGTCGAGATAGCTGGAGAGCTAATCCTCCCCGTGAACCACTGCCTACTAGCCGTCCCCGGTGCTTGCAGATCCGATCTCAAACGGATTGTAAGCCACCCCCAGGCGCTGAGCCACTGTAAGACCAAACTCGAATTAATGGCTCTAGATGTGGACGAGGTCCCGAACGCCGCCGAAGCAGCTAGGTTCGTATCGGAGAATGGGATCTCCGATACGGCCGTGATCGGGAGCGTGATAGCGGCGAAGGAATTCGGTTTGCAAGCTATCGAGCAGAATTTTCAGGATCAGATCGGAAACTTTAATCGGTTCTTGCAGTTGGGGTTGAGACCAGTGTTGCCTGGGAGAAGAGATAAGTCTCCGTCTGGTACCTGGAAAACGACCGTCGCGTTTTCTTTGGAGAAGGGGGTTTCGGATCTGTTTCGAGCGCTCTGGCATTTCGAGAGCCGGAATATAGCGGTTACAAGAGTGGAGCATCGGCCCAACCAATTGAATCCGGTGAGGGCGGTCAAGAAGGAGACGGGAACCATCAGATATTTCGAATACATTTTTATCTTGGACTTGGAAGGCAAAGTGTCGGATCCGGGTTTGAAGGAGGCCTTGATCCAGTTGGATGAGATATCGGGATTCTGCCGTGTTTTGGGGAGTTACAGCTGCACCTGACCCGATTAACTTGCATAAGGATTAGGGTTACTTGAATTGAATTTTCAGTATTTTCTGTTTTGCCGTTGCCGATGATTCATTCCCAAAACTTATATCACTTATCAGAAGAAGCTCCGTGACGGTGAGTTATTGCATCTGTAAAGTGTATATATACATCACATGTACATCTATGTAGTCTGTCTGGACTGGAAGAGATCAAACTTTATATGGATTTGATGAGATTGAAATTGAACAGATGATGTTCCAGCTGCTTAATTGGTTCACCTAAGAACAACCAAGCTGGAGTGAAGGTCTTTTATTAGGTTTCTTTCTCTTTAAATTATATATTTCAACATTTTTTTCACTATTATTATTTTATTTCAATTATCAAATTCTTCGACAAGGGTTTGTTAATTAAGCTGTAGCCTTGGATGTAAGTAACCACTTACCTTGAGATATAATTCAAAGCATATTATTATTGCCAATGCCACAAGAGAAAGAGCCCATATGACTATGAAAACAGTGCCCAAGCGACCGACCATCTCAGGTCACCGATGAGAGAAAGCTCATATGGGACTGTAAATGGAGAAAGATTATAAAGTGTCTATTTGGTTTGATCGGAATTAGAATGTTTCATTTCTATAATTTGGTTGGTTCAGACAAATATCGAAATCAGAATTAGAATAAGCTATAATGGGATCTTAATTCTCAAAGAAGGGGGAGAGAATGATCGAGAAATATAAATGAGATTTTGATTTCATCTAATTAAACAGTTGAAGTTGGAATGATATATTCCGATTTTGATTTCATCTAATTATACAAGGATTGGCAATGGTTGTCGGTATCATAGACAAATGAACCCGGCCCGAGAAAAGCATACAAGGCGGGGTTCTAATTCCCATATAACAGGTTCTTCCAATCGTTATATGCGTAAATAAGTTAAATAGATAGCAAATTAAGGACAGATGTAAAAAAGAGAGCAAGTGTAAAGGAATAACTTACTGATGGGATCTAGTAGAAGAACTTGTTCTCAAGTGGTTGTCTTCTCAAATCTCAACTGAAAACGATTCAACAAAAACAATTGTTGCATTGTCAAAGAAATGTATTGATTTTACTGATGTGCCAGTTGTTTTGGAAAACAAGGTTGAAGTAGAAAACAAGTAAGCCAAAACATGAAAAAGAAACTATAGCCAGAGATATTTGCATGGTGATGTAATTTGGTTGTAGATGATGATAATATGTATAATTCCGTCAATGTGACTGTTGGTCCCATTCCGATAAATGAAGTAGGTGCGTCAGATTAGTAGTTGGAACTAAAACTTCGGGAGAATGACTGTTTGTCTGGAATAAGTCATAGATGATGACAATATGTATATTGCTGCAGCCTATTCCTTTTATAGACCTTAGAAAATATTTTGGAAAAGTAAAAGCCAATTAAGACGTTCTAGATTTGTTTTATATTTTCTGTCTTCTCTTCTTACACATTTCTATCTTATTTGTATCGTATTAGGGAAGATGAAATATATTTCTTTACACAAATGAGGTGGCTCATCCTCCAGAGGGGTATTCACGGGTTGGGTTGGTTTGAGTCATTTTCTTTAACTGATTCGATCTAATTAGTTGATTTACTTATTAATTAAACCAAAATTGATAGACCCTAAAGTAAAATCGGCCTAAATATGAAGGGTCGGTTTGGGTTGGTTTATCGGTTTAGTCGGTCTTTGTATATATTTTAAATTAAAATATTTATTTCTAAATATCTATTTATATTTAAGTTTATTTTTTTAGTTTTTATGCAAAATCAAAATATATATTTAAATCGATTAACATGGGCAGAGTTCTCGTAGACAGGAGATCTGGACTCTTTCTTTCTTATGGCAAAAATAAGCAAACATTTGGTGCATTTTTACTTTTTTTAACATATTGCAAATTATGTTGGGCCAACAAGTTTACACTTAGCTTTAAAATACAATACATCTTTGTAACAATACTGTGGATGATGAAGTTTGACAATTGACCAAAATTGACGGAGATACATTCTAAAACTTTTATTTCCCTTTTTCGGAGCTTGAATTCAAGGACCGGATGTTTTGGAAATTGTGATCCAAGTTTAAAAGAAACTCTAAAATGATTTATTCAATTCATCATAATTAATATCTCCAAAGACGCCATGGAAATTAAATGTCTAAATTGGAATGTCTGTTTTATTCAATATTTAATATTTGGATTCAAGCCAAACCAGCCAGGTGGGAGGGATCAAGACAGTTTTTTTAATTACAAATGAGTGAATTTTTATGACGATGTATGTATGTATATATACAGCAATATCACCAGATCATGTATTAAACAAGGCACACACTTCGGGTTGGATCAAAATTCAATTGAAATTTGGCAATATTCGTAATGGCTTGATAATCTAGAATTGATAGATTAACAGCCATGCATATGTAAGGTGATTTGGGTATATATAAAAGATAAAAGAGACTGGCCAACGGCACTTTGAAAGGTTATCTTGGTGGTTGGATAAGCTCAAATCTCATTGAAGTTTAATATAAGGTCATTTACTAGAATACCCTCTATAGTTTTACGGATTTACTTAAATCTAATTTATAATTTTTATTTTATTATAACATTTCTATAGTTTGCAACCTATTACTTAAACTTTTACTAAGAAATGTTTGTTTTGCCACCTAAAAACATAGTAACATGATCACCTAAGTTGAGGCATGGGCCCATGATTTTTATTTCAAAAATATTTCCAACACTTTTTCATACAAAAAACAAAATTGACCAAATAAAACCAAATAGAGTGGTTGTTCATGTCTTATCAAGGGTAAAAATGGTATTTTCTTCACTATTTCTTCTCTAAAAGTAAATTCAAGTTATTCTGTTGAAAACTACTTGTGTATAAATGTATTAGGGAAGAGCAAGCCGGTTTATTATTAAATTTAATATTCACATCTCAAAAAATCTAATAATATAATCCATGATATTTTCTAAAGGCTATGTTTGGTTTGAAGGAAAAGGTAGGGAAAGGAAGGGAAAGGCAGAGAAATCTATACAAGGTTTGTAAAGGTTTCCCTACCTTTCTCTACTTTTTCCTTCAAACAAACGCAACCTAAGGGTTGTGATGTGAATAATGTTGTCATGTCCAGATGTAATACATTAAAAAAGGGAAGGCAAAGTCATCTCATGCGAGGTGTTCAATGCTATTACTCTTTTTCCTAAATGTGTTTGCCAACAACTAAATGTTGTGACATGCAATTTTTGGTGGGGTTGGCATTAGGGGTGAGTAAGTGGGTAGGTTCTACCCGGAATCGAATGAAACTGACATCGAATTGGCCTTGAACCGACCCTACTTAATCTGTTACAAGGTAGGGTCTGGTTCCAAATTCTTGGAACCTACCCCCATCCAGGTTGGTTCTAGAGTCTAGAGGTTTACCCTACCCGAACCGGCTTTGGAACCGAACTTGCTTTCAAATAAACTCCAAAATATTTTTAAGGATGTGAAGATTTGAGCCCAAGCTCATGGTTATGAGAGTCATGGTCTCACTTGACCATCGAGTTACTTAAGTGACTTGATCATTTGTTTTCATTTGAATATTTGTATGTGTATAATAAATAATGTAAAAGGTAATATTTATAAACTTTAAATTATAATGACAACTTTTCAACCATATATTAATATATTATGATAATCTATATATTAAACTAGCGAGGACCCATGTGATGCACAGGATTTGTTAAGCGAAAGCAAAACAATAGAAACACATAAGAGTATATAATTGTTTTATATTTTTTACTTTTTAAATAATTTATGTACAACTTTTAATATTTTTTTACAATACAAAAATAACAATAATTAATTTCGTCTAGGCTATTCATCAAATTGATGAAACCGGCCAACCTGACCAACTTAACTTGAGTTGATCGATTTTCTAGTATTTCCGGTTGGTGTTGGTCCAACAATTTCCCAACCCAACCAGGTTGGATTAGCTTTGCTTTAGCCATTTGCAAATTGACAAAAAATGGATGACTCGGCCATAGATATATTAATATTTTATTTATTGGGAATGTTGGAGAGAGAGAGAGAGAGACAGAGACAAAGAGAGATTTTAGGTAATTTTTTTATGGAGAAGGAGAGCATCTCATTGACTATTTCAAAATGTCATGGAATATAAAGTAAAAATTTGAGAAAATGAGAAAATTTGTAGACTGTTGTGTTTTAGTATATACTAGCAGGGACCCGTGCGATGCACGGTTTTTTGTTAAGTGAAAGCTAAACAAAAGAAATACATAAGAGTATATAATTATTTTATATTTTAACTTTTTAATAACCAATCCGATCGAAATCGAGCCAAGTTGGTCAGTTTTCTAGTAGTTTTGATCAGCTTTGGTTCAGAAATTTTCCAAACCAACCAAGTTAGGTTAGTATCAATTTGGCCACTTGTAAACTGACCAAAACTGAACCATCCCATACATGCATACATACATACATACATATATATATATAATATTTTTAATACAAGAAAGTGGAAAGATTCCTATATTTCTTAGTCTAAAATATTTTATATCATAAATTTAAAATTTTTAATTTATTTTTTAATAATACCACTATAATTTATTAAATTTAAATTTAAATTTTAAGTTTAAGTCTTTTGAACAAACAAACCAAACCAAAAATAGACCAAAACCAATACAACCCGAGTTGGCAGGATTTCACTAATAATGGTCAGTCGGTTTCGAGTGACAAACTCCGACCTGACCAAGTCGATTTAGTTGGTGAAACAGCCTACAACCGAACTAAATTGATCCTTGAACACTCCTAATTTTAACTAAATTAATAGTCTAATCTCTAATAAATAACAATAGTTTAATCTCCAATAATTATTGATAATTTTTTGTTAAATAACAAAACAAAAAATAGATTTATAAATAAGTATTGAAAACATATTTATCAAAAAATACAATAAATATTAATTTTAGCATATATAAATATATAATGAATATACACTATTATT